AACGACAGAATAAAAGGCACAGTAAGTACACTGGCATGTTATTTTAAATTGACAATTTAACTCAGAAAAAGCTGTTAAAAATATGCATGGAATGCTGTACCAACACACCCAAAGTAACCATCTGGGTTGGAAAACTAGCACTGGGAGAGGGGAAAGCAAGAAAAATGGGAGCTATCACAACACAATAATTTAACACCCCCAAAAAGATCAGTATTCACATTTGATGTTTCCAAAATAGAAGCCCCTTAAAAACTTCTCAAATACCCTCAGCAATGAAGTCTAAACATAGAAGGGGCTCAGTACACAAAAATAATTGAAAAGTGATGTTGCATGTATTTGAAAGTCAGTGGATGAAAACCTATTGTCCTCATGGAGAGCTTGCCACCTTCAGCACAGCTGTGATTTCAACCCTCATGTATCCTAAGTGCTCTGCTAATTCTTAAAGCTCAAAGGAAATCTTTCACTCAAGAAGAATGACAATTTTATCACGAGGAATGTGACAGTAAAACTGCTGAAGCCATACAAGTACATTTCCATTCATACAACAAGTTCGCATTTCTCCATGACACTGGAAAACTTTTTTTTTAATAAAAGATTAGCACTAAAATTAGTAGTCATATTCAATATTAGTAAAATTATCATTTAGCAAACCTGTTTCAAGGGCACCATCACACCTGACACTATGCAATCTTACAAAAGATCAGCAACAATCAGGTAAAATATAGTCTGAAGGGGAAACAGCATAGACTTAGTCAATAATTTAATTCCTAGAATCAGTGATTACTTAATTAACAAGAATACTCAAATACTATCATTCACTTTCTGTAACATGAACATTTCCACTACTGCCTTAAAAAAAAAAGGCAAAAAATTCAAACATTTAAATACAATAATTCTGAGTTACAAGCTAGGAAATATACCACTTGACACATACAAAGTTTAAAACCTGTTCTGTTTTCACTTAGAAATTACCCGAGTGATTTGTTATAAAACTATCCTAAACACTCTTCCTTACATATGAGGCTTATCAGGGGAATTTTGAAAATACAGATATTTTCTTAAATTCACTCTGAGGAGAACAGCGCAGAACAGGACACTTCATTACTCATGTCATTTCTGAGTAAATAAAAGCTACAAGCAAAGAGAAAATTAATTTGGTTTCAGTTTTACTGTTTGCATATAATCTTAATATACTATTAATTTAGAATTGATTTCTTTTAATGATAGTTGTAGTAAGGTGAAACTTGCTAAGGACAAGCTACTGAACTAAAACCATGATAGCCAGGCAGTTTAAGCACAAGTCTGAGCGTGGAAAGTTCTGAGGTTTTCTTCACTTTAAAGAGGCATGTAAGTAACATTTTTGACACTTGACATACCAACAGTACATGTACAATAACTACATTTTTCCTTTAAAAAAAGAAGTGGCAATAAAATCACAGGAACGTTGACTGAGATTGTACATCCGGAGTTTTTTATGATAGGTGAATTCTCCCAGGCAAAACCACTGAAAGTAGTACTTGAATAGGCTTAAAGGAAAAAAACGTGCTTTTCTTTCTGCTAGCAACTAAGCACTGGGTCTGAAACCAACAATTCAAAAGCAAAGCTTTTCTAGTTCAATACTCTAAAAAAAAAAAAAAAACCAAACCCAAACACGTATATTCATTGAAAGGGTAAATTAGTAATGCTGAACCAAAATCTTGATAGAAAATAGCTGCAAGTACAGCGTCTAGCCAAATAAGATCCATATAAAGCCATTATCAAATCAGCTGTGTGTCAGATTACTTAAAGATCAAAAACTTACATGTGTCCATACTTGACCATACAGGTTTTTTTAAATTCTTCTTTTCAATGAGAATACCTGGCGTAGCATGTCACCTAGGAAGACAGCTATTTAAAAAGACACTTCTGCTTATCATCATTGCTTTTTCACATGACAGATCCACCAGGTAGCTGAAAGTCAAGCAATAATCAGAAACAGAAAACATCACTCTAAAATTTCTGGCAACTCTACAAATGAGTCATTTTATATGTGTCTTTGTAAGAACGACTGATGGGTAATTTTGATAAGACATGTAATTTTCATTTAAAAAAAAAAATCAATAGATTGGTTTACTAGAGTAATACTAGTATCTCAAATTGGTTTTGTTAAGATCAAGCCACAGAAAAATTAGGGTTCACAACATACCTAACTAGGAATGTCCCTTGTTTATTACTACCCATGCCTAAATATGGTAATACTAACCTCTTGAAAGAGGACTAAGGAAGCAGATAACTAACACGATAAAGACAAAAAAAAACAAAAACAAAAAAACACACCCCAAAATAAAGATATATGTACTCAAAGATGACTATCACAGAGGAGTTCAGTTCAGTTTGGCCATCTGTTTCCTGTTTAAACTTATTTTTTCCAGCATTACTGGCTACAAGGGTAGCATAAAAGAAGACTGGCATGACAATGGAAAATTATGACTGTTAGGACAATATTTTGTTCACCCTGCAGCTGGTTCCAGTGAGGGCAGACACACAAGAAACACAAATAATATTTAGGTCTCCATCTTGGACATCAAGCTAGCTCCTTGCATAACAAGCTGCTAGATGAACAACAGTTGTTCACTTACCAGGACCACAATGTCCAGTCACCTTCTTCAGGGAATTCAAGGCTCTATTAATTCCATACCATTTATGTATATGGAAACATGTAACAAATTAACATGCCTAAAAATTAATATAATTAAGCTCACATTTCTAGAGGGAGGAACATGGCACAGAATGGCAATTTAATCTGTGGTAAATTAGTCGGTGAAAATACCTTCTTTTTATGCCTTTTTTCCTCTGGTTCTCCTCAGTTTTCAATAAACAAAACATCAGCTGACCTCAAGTATATTTCAGGCTTTACTATTCATAGTAAGGTAACTCCGTCCTTAGATATGAGGAAGATTCTGTTCTCCTGAGAAGAAAAGAAACCAGAGCGCATTGATGCCAACAGTGACAAGGTCACAAAGCATAATTACAAATGGGATGCAGTCTCACTATCATGTAAGCCATCAAAATGATGGACACTATGAAATGCCACCAAAATATCCCTGATCTCTGGGAGAAAAAAAAAAAAAAAATCTGTCATTGTAACAGGTCTGCCTGAGATGCAGCCCTCACCATGCTGTGCAGTGGTAACCAGATAACACATCAGTGTTTTGACTACTGCTGAGCAGGGCTCACACAGCACCAAGGCTGTTCCCCCAACATTTCCCCAGTAGGCTGGGGGTGGGTAAAAACTTGGGAGGGGATATAGCCAGGATAGCTGACCCAGACTGACCAAAGGGATATTCCATATCACATGACGTCTGCTCAGCAACAGACGCTGGGGAAAAGAAGAAAGGGGGGGACATTCATTTCACATTTGTCGTCCAGAGCAACCACTATGCGTACCGGAGCCCTACTTCCCAGAAAGTGGCTGGACATCGCCAGCTGATGGGAAGTAGCGGATAAGATCTTTTGTTTTGCTTCTGCTTCCACGCGTGGCTTTTGTTTCATTAAACTGTCTTTATCTGACCCACGTGCCCATTGTTATATTTTCTCTCCCCTGTCCAGCTGAGGGGGTGAGAGTGATAGAGTGGCTTTGGTGGGTACCTGGCATCTGGCCAGGACCAAACCACCACAGTCTTAAACTCACTTTCTATAGTTTGGCTCATCCAAGAAAAATGGGATGTCGTAATGCGTACAAACACAGCACTAGTTTTGCAGGTTTTTCTCCCTTGCTTCTATAAAATTTTTCTTCCTGTGAAGCCCACTTCTATGTGGGGCAACAGATATACTAATTTACTTAAGTCACAAATAAGCAACACTTGTGGGACACTGTCATTAACATGGAAACAAGTACTTTAAAAAAGAGAAAGAAAATCCAAATGAAACAGAGATTGATTCTTGTGTGGCTTTAGCTATTTTTCTTGACTGTGCTAAGTACCTAATAACCTGTTGGACAAAGTATATTGCCATATATTTTATATCTGCTATATATTCTTCCAACCTCCAGTTAATCCTGTAAATACAAAAAGCTGCAGAAAAAGCACTGCGTCATTATCTACTTGCTCACCTTTGTGCTTCCAAGTAAGTGTGCTGCTTCCTTCAGTCTTCACATTAAAAAAAGGAAGCATTTAGATCTTTTAGAGCTGTAAGTTTCATGAAGAATAAAATATTTCAGGATTTTTAATTTTTTTCTTCAATACCTATTGTTTGTAATTCTGTTTGCCACATCCACTGAAGGTATGTTCACACTGACCAAACTCCAGATATATTTAAATTAATCCATGGCAGAATTCATAAAGGTATTAAACCAATAAACATGCAGTAACTCTCATTAGGAGCTGTTTTCCATTGTGTTAGTGTCCACAGACAATTTTAAATTAGGGTAGAAAACTGCCTACTAATAAGAGCACAGAACAACTTTTATTTTCATTTTTACAGTAACATGACTGTGGTTGATCTTTCCAAATGGTTCTACAACTTCAACTTTGTTCAGATTTTAAACTGAATACAAAATCATTGAAAATTATGTATATGGACACATGAACTGTCCTTAAAATTTTCTTCTGACAGCGTATTTCTTCAGAATGGGAAGCAACACACTTCAATTCGCAGAGGTGGCAGTGAAGTATCCATTTGTTGACATCACCACTAGGTTCTTGTTATCTGGTCAATGGATAACTAGGGGTTTGCTTTCTTTAACTAAACACACTTTCAAATGCCTGGTTACGGAATCTTTGTGTAACATTTAAAGATAATTTTTAAGTCTTTTTAAAAAGATTGCTAAGTTAGAATACATTTTTGACATGCAGAATGATACCCAAAGTATTCTGATGAACTTTTATTAAAAATAACCTTCCTACAGTAGTATGGAATTCTTCAGCAAAGTCAAGCCACAACCTGTTGCACAGTCTTCTTCACCAATACCATAAATTTGATCTTTTCTGTTCCTCTACGGATCTGCATTATTGGCTGATAACTGAATACAATTTTGAAGCAGGCAAGACAGCTTTAGTAAAAAGGAAATCACCTTCCCTTCAATGCGACCACCTTTTTTCTAAGCCTTTACAGAGGGCTATGATTTCATGCACAGTCGTTAATCCAGAAACTTCTCAGTAAGAGAACCAGGAGTTGCTTAATGACACAAGTATGATTTGAGATGCTCTGCATGCAGTTCACTTTCTAAGACTCTTTGTGCTGCTTCCTTTTCAGAACGCAATGAGATCAAGATGTGTGATGTCTGGTTCCCAGCTATGCTTGTATCTGCTGGATGTCATTATGCACTGAAGATTTATGTTCAGACTTCAAATCAAACGCAGGTTTCACACTCTAAGTGGGAACGCCCACAAACATATTGTTCTTTGGAGAACAGCTCTCTGGCTCCATTGATATAACTTGGACAGAGTAGTTATGTTCTTCTGCAGCCCAAGCCCGATCCAGATCCACAAGCCCCATACACTGCTTTCCTAAAACAAGAGCACAGGAGAGCATGGAAACTCTAAAAATGTAGAAACATTATCAGAAATGTGCACTTCAATATTCAATGTTAGGAAAACACACCAGTAAGTCATCTAAAAAATAAGTTCCAAATCCACTTAGGAATCTTAATCTGTTTTACTTCAAATAGATAGTCGTTAAGAGTTCTAAATCACATCTGTGACTTGAAAAGATCTTCAAAAGGATTATTAACTCTTTATATATGGAGAAACAGAACATGCACAACTATTTTTAAGTATTCTCAAAACTTACAGAAAAATCCATGCATAAATATAAAAGCCACAAGAAGAAAAAAATGCCCAGTTTACACCTTATTGCCTGAACTGCCAAATTTCTGCTTCCTTTATAACCATAACTGTTTTCCTCCTGTACTTTCATCTAAAATCTGAAAACCTCTGGTTACTGAATATCAATAAAAGACTAAAATACCAAACAGTGACCCAATGTAACTGATTTCAGACATACAAATGTAACTGCTTATGAACAAAAATACTAATTAAAACTAATCTTATCTCAGATTTATCTGCAGAAAAAAATGGGAAAGATAAAATCAAGGTTTTTTTCTGCTTAGAAGTTTGTGTTATGATACAGCCATGCCAAGATGATGAGGCCATTTGTCTTTACATATTTACACATTATACTTTATTATTATTTTCTGAAATACAGAACTGATTTGTCAGATTATATTTTCAGCAGTTTGAAACTCTCTTCCAAGAAAGACTTAGCACTTCCCTGAAATGTTTTAGAGTCATACAGTCTCAGGTCACAAACCAGGCACAATCCTATTTCAGTCTCAAAGACAACGATCCTACCTCATTTCTTGCTTCTGAAAGAGTTGTACAGTTAAATATATTGGGATCTGAGATGAAGGGAAGAGAGAGGAGCACTCGTTCTGTTTACCATCAGGATACAAGTGTGGCATTCCAAACCACCCTCTGGAACTGCCTACCTCCTACCCCTGAATATACAGAGAGCCTGAGCACCTGTATCATCGCAAGCCCCAGCATGCGCCTGTTAGATGCCTGCAAAAGTTTTGGGTAGGTGGCACAAACATGCCCCTCACTATCCATTAAATGAAATCTACATGGTTTTCTCTATATCTGATCACGCATTGCACAAATTAAACAAACAAACAAAAAAAAGTCAAAAAAGTCTTGCCATGGCTGGGATCAATAACACTGATCTGATTCAGTCTTCAATTATTTGCAAGCAAAACTTAGAAGTACCACAAGATTCCCATAGAACAGTTTCAAAGCTGAAACAGAACACTAAAGAGGGAATGATCTTCACTGAAAAAGAATAGTATGACATGGAACTTAAAGAAAAAACAGCATTCTTTAAAACAGAAAAAGCAATGATGTAAGGGAAGTAAGAAGAATAAAATTTATGTGTTTATGTGTGGATGTTTTGTCAGGGCAAAGCACATAAAAGTTAAATTTGTGAAAAAAAATTTGCAGTTTCAGAGACAGAGAATGGATAAAAGTTACAATCTTTCAAAAAAGTTTTTTGGGTCCTTTTCCAATTTTCAGTCCACCTGGCAAACAGCAGGAGACAATGTGGGTGTTACACTGATACCTGAACAATGCCTTTTTTCAAAATTTTTTTTTTTTTCAAATTCTGCAATGATAGCAAAAGAGCCAACAAATTTATCATAAAATAGTTATCTCTATAAGTATTATTTTCTTTTTGTGCAGTATGTATAGGAAATACTTTGAATTCTTCAAATGAAGCTTTTTTAAAACATTATGATTATTTGCTACTACTGCTTTAATATACTTTCAAAGGGTTTCTTGCAAGCCAAGAATGCACAGTTATATCCTGAATGTTCCCAGCCCCTTCTGCCTTTTCTGACCTGGAAGCTAGTTTATCGCTTCCATCAGAACATTAATACCAGACAGGAGCAGATTATACCTTTTTGTAAGTCTACGGACACTACAATATGACACATAATGAAGAAATGGCTTTGCTTATTCCAAATATTTTAAGTGTTATGTATTTCGCTGTCCTTCTGAGTAATGAAATTCCTGCTATCACTCTTAATGATAGCTTCTTGCAGTTATTTTCCTCAGAAATCATTGACACCTGACCAAGAAACTTAAATCTCAGGGATCAACTTACTCTGGCTGTTAATTGCACAGAAATGACCAACAGAAGGCAGCTGCTCTTACTCAGAATGGCAATAAAGTACAAACCTGAAACAGAACTGATTACCAAAAGGCAAAAATTGACTTATGCTCTGCTGTAGCTATAACATAACTTTTCCCACAATGGCAAGGCTGGTAGACCAGATAAGGGGTAAGCCAAACTGCGTTCTTTGCAAAGTTTTCAGATTATAAATATTATTCACTACTGAAAAAAAAAAAAAATCCCAGAAAACCTTCTGGTTTTTTTCCTAAAATTATGATGATGATCCTAATAATGAGGTGGCCAAACAGGTTTGTATGCTCTTAAGCCTGTCTGTACCAAAGCTAGCCCAGCCTCTGCCTTATTGTTTCCAGCTGGCATTAGATATTTGCCCTTTTAGCTAAGAGAGTTACCAGCAGCAATTTACAAGCAGGATGAAGGGTGCACACTGAAAATCATGACTATGAATAGCCTGTGCATTTAATGTAAGATAAACTGGCAATAGCAGGACTTCAGTGAACTTTACAAAGACCTCATTCTTGTCAGAGAATGGTGGGAGGAAAAAAAGGTGAAGCAACAAAAATCAGTAAAATGCAAACCCTCTATCTCTTACTGATAATTCTGAAAGAAGAAAACAGTGTCTATACCACAGTTCAGAACAGCAAGAGGCGAAATGTGAAGAAACGCAAAGTTTTCAAATGTTATGTGAAGACAGCAACTTAATGTCCTGTTCACAAATGTACTACTACTTCCCTTTATATATCAAGGTGAATTCATTACTAAGATAGTTTACACAACCAATGCAGAAATTCATACCAATTAGCCTGCGTTCAGGTGGAAGCTGAACAGCTGTCTGATCTGCAAATCGGCAAAGGATCATGTGCTCCTAGGGGAAAAAAAAAAAAAACACAATAAATTTGGTCCAGTGGCATTTCCCTCTTCCAAATAAAATAAGAAAAATCTAATTGAATGTTTAAAAGTATAAAAAACACTATCATATTGAAGACGGTATTTCTAAAAAAATTATCTATGTGCAAATCCTAATTTTGATGCTGATTTGGCTCGTAAATGTGTGTGTAAATCAAGTGTTTGTAACTGCAACCACATCTCGACTCATGAGTATTTGTTTCTTGCTAAATTTTCTCTTATTTTCTGCAGCAGTTGAATTGGATGCAGTGTATACAAGATAGAATTCTTCAAAGACATACTGCAGACTAGTTTTGCCTTCAACTACTGACGAGCAACACAGCCTTCTCTAAGCACAGTCATCATGGGGCATCCTCTCTGCATCAATAAACAGCCAAGACAAAATTCTTAAATAGGCAATTTGAACTACTGTACATTTCTCCCAACCACTGATTTTGAATCCCAGAAGAATTGCCTTATGCTCTGCCAAATCCATTCAGGATCAGTCCAAACGATCCCAAAGGCAAAACTTATCCTGAAGGTAGAAAATACCTGGCTGTAAATAGGAGAGTTTCCTACACCAAAATGAGCACAATTCACTTTCAAACTATCCCTGCTCCACTTAAAGTTTCTGCAGATGCTTCTACAACAGCTGCTGTTGATTTCTTCCAGTCTTGTCACCCAGGGTTATGGTACAGTGGAGGGTTCACCCCACCACCTTACTCCTTACTTAGATCACTACACAAGCAGGCAGAACCCCACTGTCATTCGCCTTCAAAAATCACTGCCTGTGCTAGCACAATGGTTTCTCAAAGACCAGCCAGGCCAAGGAAGGCAAGTTAGCCAGATGGTGAAAGAAAAAGCCTTGAAGGTGTAGTAATGACATTAATGCTTTGACGAAGCTGTGCACTTTGGGACAGCTGCAATATTAAGTACAGGACAGAGGAAGTCAGAACCATTTCAGAACTGTACAACATTCCCAAGTCTCCTATAACGTCATGGGAGAAAACAGAAATGGACAACAACAAAAAGTGCTCTGCTAAGCAAAGCTTCCAGTGCTATAGTTCTAAAAAAAACAAAAACAAAAACAAAAAAAAAAACCAAACAAACAAACAAAAAAAACCCCAAAAAGGACATGTGTCTTGCATCAAAAAGAAAACCTTTCTTTTTATTTATTCTTGTCTGACAAAAATGATGGTTTTAAATGTCTGGTTCCTGTAGCAGATGAAGAGAACAACTTCACCTAAGGATACTTCAATATCCTTCGGTATCCTGAAGTAAGGATACTTAGCCCAGCTTTTTATTAGGGGGACATAAACGTCCAGAAGTCTTCATTTCACAAAAATCCTGAATGAAATCCCACTTCATGTTAAATCAAGATGGTAACTCCCTCCATAGTACACTCCATCCAATTAACAAATTTAGTAGACATCTGACCACAAAAAAAAAGCTTGCCCACATATAAAATAAAATATTATCACTACTTGATACTCAAATATTACTCATTTAAATAAGTTTACAGTATCTTGAGGCAGGGATATTTGTTCCCTAGTACAGCTCATTCTCATGAAGGTTTTCAGCTCAGAGCTCCATAGGAAATATGCAAGCAAAATCAGAAGATGTTATAACATGCCCAGTCAGTTCAGTTCAAATATGGCTATTTTTGTTGTACAAGAGAGCTGAAAATGTTTAAACCCAGATGTGACTACTGGAGAACAGAGGAAAAGAGAGCCACAGGCAATGAGGCTGCTGTTTGGAGAGAAGCAGCAGTGACAGGCAGCCTGGGGAGAAAAAGCACAGAACCCCTCACCAGCCTTCGGGCACCCAGCACAACTTGGCTTTTTGCAACATGAGGTTCTCAGCTCACCTGACTAGACCAGAGCCAAGACAAGCCTTGCCACATAACCTGAAAATCTGAACTGACTCTAATGACATGGCTTCCTCCAGAGGTGATCCAAAACGTTAAACTAAAGCCTAAGTTATGACTACATCATTTCCCCATGACACAGTCATTAAATTGTCACATTCTCTGTCAGCAGAAATAATAAGAAAAGCATTTCTAAAATAATGAAGAAGATAATTATAAACCGCCCAAACTTTGTGTGTGCATAAGCAGTTAACTTGCTTACTAGAACACCCACACTTTTAATTCCTATTAAGTTTTCAAAGCCACATGTGTGAAGGTATTCGGTTTTACTTTCCAATTCTCCTATAGGGAGAGTGTCTTAACAAAGTCTCAAAATGTATCATGTAGGAATCTACAGCTATCACAACCTTATTCTTTGCAGCTATAAACTAATGAATTACAGCATAATGTTCTCATCAAAAAAGTTTTAGAATCGCCAGACTTCTGGATGTCTTTTTAGATCTCACTAAAATGAAAGATAAGAGAAATCAATTTAAAATGGAAACTGAAGGGGGGTGACACAGGCAATGTCTGGCTAACACATGGTAGTTTTGGCTACTAGCCAATAACCTGTAACAATTTATTAATACGAAATATAAAAATGCATATAGCTAGCTGTATAACTAAAGTTATTTATAACTAGGATTATTTGAGGCACCAACCAGCCTAGACCATTTGTATAGACTCTTAAATTATTAAGAGCAGCAATATTCTTTAGCACTGCCCTTGGCCCCTGTGCCCGTCTGCAACACAAATAATCGAATGCTAGAACTTCTAAAGTCTTGACAAACCCTGTCATTTAAACGTCTACAGATTATTTAGATTTAGATTATTAAGAAAACATTCACTGATCTTTACTGAGATTGTGTACACACTGTCCTAATCTAGGCATCTTTGACTATCATTGTCACCATCTCCCTCTGTAATGTCAACAGATCTGTTTTTAATATTATGCTAGTAAATAAACTTCTTCTGAACTGAAACCTGAGTTCTTTGTGATTATGTGTTAGAAACATATAAATGTGTTGAAAAGAATGCTAATTGAGCAAAAATAATGGCAGGTCCAAATCCACTGTGCCGCTTTTATCATCTCAATCTACAGACGTTTATTTCCATTTAAATTAGTGAAGTGTACCTAAACTGGACTTTCTAAGATCAGTGTATTACCAGGTAACTGAACTTCCCTATGTAAGACTGCTGAAAATTTTCTGGATTTTTTTAAAAGCCCTCTTACTTGAGGATTAAAAAGGATAATCTTCATTTTCCTGCTACATATAGCATCTTTGCTATGCTCACTGTCCCAAAAAACACTGGACATTAGAAATACCATCTCTCATATTTCTAATACAAAGGATTATTCTGCATCTCCAAAATTCATTTCTATATTGTAAACACCAAGACCCTTGTCTAGGATTTGACATCTAAACTTAGTAAAGTTTCTATGTAGCCTTGCTTCTCTCAAACGGAAACCTTTTCTTTCTAAGCCACATTAAGTGCATCTAACCTTCAAATTTCTGGTTGCTCATCACTAATTAGTTTAAATGCACTAGACAAAGCTGAATAGATCAGTACCAGTTGCCTGCTGTCCACATCTCTGCTCTTGTCCTCCTTCACTCCTGTTACCTGTTATCTTCATTCTGTCAGTTGTGTGTCTCATTGATTTTTTCCCAATTTTCTCTTAGACCATCTCCACACAGATCCTGGGTCCCCAGCATCAAAACACATTTGAATATTTTTGAAATAATTTTGAATAACATTTTTAGAACAATACTGTACAAAATTCTTCCTGATGAGTATAAGCTCCTTCTGTTCACTACATCCAATCTTCTAGACATATATTAGAGGGAAAAATCTAATGCTTACCAGAAAATAGTATCTATAAAAGCAATAGTTTTACTTAAAAAATGATCAGACATTTCCACAGTATTAACAGTTATATTCAAGACCTAAATAAATTGGTATCCTGTAATTGTTAACTGATAGATGTTGGAAGTATCTTAGGAATAGCTCTCATACATAATAATAAAAAAATTCTTTTGTGGAGAAATGATTTAATTGTATTGAAGAAAATTGTGCCTTAAAAGATGGATGGTGGAGAGAAAGCAACACAATGACATCTGCACTACTAATGAACAGTTCACATAACACACGCTTCTCCTTGCAATTAAAAGATAACCACTTATATTTGGTATCATAAGAACATACAGTGAAATGCAGGAAACCGCACATAACCCTCTCCCCACCCTGCAACCCTTTTACGTACCTTGTAGGACAAAATTTCTTTGAACTGATGACTGAAAAAAAATAAACCAATTCAATTAACATCTAAAAAAGCAGAGGTGGAAAATAGAAGCAATTGTTACATACCTGAGCACATTTTAAACAAAATAGCAATATCTGTATCCTACAGAAAGGCACTAAAAAACCCAGAAACCATTACAGTTCCAGTTTACTAAAAAAGAAAAAGCATATTTGGTGTTGTATTTTTTTTTCTGCTGTATTATTCATAAAAATTCTCTCTTTAAATCATTATAAACACTAACACATTTACTGATGTTTCCACATTGTCACATAAATACTTTATTACATGTACACAATCTCTTGACATGCATGTATTTTGTTTGTATCACAAAAATAAGGTGCCTCTATGAGGGAATTGAGTATAGGACACAGACAATACGGGGATATGGTTGGGCTATCATGTTTTATGATCATATAAAATAAAGAAAAAAAAAAGAAAAAGCAAACCCTAAAATGCAGCTTAAGCCTACGTAGAAAATTATCAACCCTAGCTCATGATGTTAGATTCAAAATTTTAGCAAACAAAACCATAATTTACATTCTTGCAGTGTCTACAGCAACAAAAGTTCTCTAACATAGTGAGCATTTCCAGTCTTCATGATCTAAAAACATTATGGGTCAAAAGTTAAATAGTATCCAGCCAATTTTAAAACAAGTCAGAGAAAAGCTATATGCTTGCTGACTTTAGAAGGCTTAGATTTTATTGCCTCTTCCTTAGGAATATTTACATATTTTACTGTGTCACAAGAGAAAATACAAGGGACACACGTAAAGAGATGAAAGAATCAAATTGACTAAGAAAACACTGTTAAATGCAGTTTATCAAACTGACAAATTCTGAATATTCACTTTCCAAGCACTTCTGTGACAGCACACCTTGATACTATAGAAAAATACGAAAAATATTTAACATGGATATGTAAGATTTTTTTAGATTTGTTGATTCCTTTTAAGACAGCATGTTTCAGTTCCTTATTTTAGCAAATACATACTTAAGACAATGTTGTAATTCCTAGTAGAATTGAATCTAATTCAACTTGGACATCCAAAATGTGAAGCTCATCTTTATGAAAACAAACAAACAAACAAACAAAAACCCCAAAAACAAACCACAACCCTCTTCCCCCATCTAGTTCTGCCTCAGAAAGCTGTTAGCCTCTTATCTTCTGCCACTTTATGCTTACCCTTCACATTTTATTTACATCAAAGGCATTGCAATTCTTAAGCCCAAGAAATGTAAGTATCTCCAACATGGCAGACTTGAAGACAACAAATATCTACACAGTCTGTTGAAAAAGTATTAAAAATACGAACTGAAATATAGGAAAGCTTGTCTACTTGGGAATAAATCAGAAGAGTTTTACAAGCAGTAAACTGCGGTATAAAACAGACCCATTTATTTAAGCTGATTGCTTACATCTTTCTCCAATGTTAAAATGCCAATTCCCCTTCTGACAGTAATTTTCATATGTTTTCCATTAACTTCATGATTTCAAGGTAAAGGGTCTGCATATTACATAGATTCCCACATAGTATATCTACTGTGTTGATGGTATAAAGTCTTCTGAACTATGAATAGATAAATCGAGAAAAAAATAACCCAGGAATTATCAATCTGTCTCCCTTTCAGGGTGAGTTTACAAAGAGAAACACGAGGAAACAGTTGCATGATAACTGTGAACCAGTTTAGCCTAGACACTTGCAATAATCTTCAACTGATTAATTCTATACTCTTTTAGAATTTTCTTCCTTCATTTAAGTTAATATTTTAAAGCTTATCTTGTTAGCTCTAGTTTACCTTCGTGGATATTTAAACTTCACTGTGTTTTGAATGAAGCCGTAACAACACGGGGAGATGACAAAGGCTGCCCGTGCCTTGATGCAGTGTTCAATCACCATGTCTGTTGCCACACCACATGCATGCAGAGCCACCTAGAGCGTTAAAAACAAAAAACAAAGAAACAAGCAAATTCTTTATAGCAACAGTCTAAATACAATCCTGTTGTAGGATTGTTTTGGTTGACTGAGTTACTTAAATACATGAGGAAGTTTTTGCGATGAAAGCTGTTATGCCAAAGGCCTGATCCGTAATTCCTCAGGCCTTCCTTTCTTTCCTTCATATCTATGCCGAAGAAAATTTATGACCTATTCCAGTAACAAGGGAACCATCAACACTGAACAAGGGTCACTCACCAAAAGCACTCAAAAGGTAAGTGTGCCACATTGTGATATCAAATAAATTAAAAACGAAGCTCCAGAAAAATACTAAAAAGAAAAACTACTGTGGTGATTAGTTAAAAACTTTTGTCAAGCAAAAAGGACTCAGAAATACAAAAAACTATTTCAAAACTGGATTTCAACTTAGCAGATAGACCTGAAGGTCACATTTAAAGGACAACATTTATGCATAAATTTTGATCATTTGATTGTACGGTATTGAGTAAAAACTTTAGAAAAACATTGGCAGGGAGGGTGGAAAGCATCCAATACAACTTGCCTTCCTTTTTTTTTTTCCCCTCTTCATTCTTTTCTTTCTTTTTCTTAGTGATGGGCTCTCAAACTAAAACTAGAATGCCATTCAATCACAACATCTACCTGCAAGCATTGATGTGTGTTTGGGCAACGCACAAGCTGCACCCAAATTCGTCATGCTCTCCTACAGAAAGGCAAGTTATTGCTGTGCTCAATCTACTGCAAGGAAAGGCAAGCGGCTCGCTCCTATCAATACCTGCGATACAAATGGGCCAGGTGAACGGTGGCATTACTTTCTCTGCCTTCTTCCATGTACTCAGTAGCTCAAAGAAAAAGTAAAGTTGGTGCATACACATTGCTCTATGTTTTCATTAAACTAAGGACACTTTTGAGGTACATTTTTAATTTTATGCAGCAGTGTGGATTTGTAAAAGTGCATTGTTTTCTTCACTTTTTGTTCACTGTAAATTTTGGAAAAAGGTTTAAAACTGCAAAGCTCAGATTTCAGGGTTCAAAGTTGCTTTCCAAGGTACAGCAATGGGAAGATAAAAACTTTGCTCTCTGATATAGATTAAAAAAAGACTTTTTTGTTTGCAGACTGCTTGATGTAAGCTCAGCTGAGCAGACCATTAATCATCAACTGAACTACATCTGCATACAGATAGTAACAAATATTCCTGTCCCATGCAGAACATTAAAAAATACAAAAATAATTTCACAATTAAAGTTTTCTGCTCATATGAATTTAACAACAATAAAACTAGTTTAACATCAGAAATAGATTCTTAATACCACAGCTATTAGACTATCATGGAATATAATTATAGTTACTTCCTCATCTATCCAAGCAGAAAACAAAGACCTCTGCTTTGCTTGCATGTTTGGAAGAGAGACTTTAAAACAGCATCAGATAAAATCAGTAGCTTTGCTGAGCCTGTATGACCTTTTACACCAATTGATTTCTTCTTTGTGTTTCTCGGAATTAATTTAGCTAAGCGAAATAAAATTCCAGACAAAGCTTCTCAGGATATCCTATATATTAAATGCACTATCTGAAAAAATAAAGTGAGGACTAATGCAGATAATGCATTTGGTTAACAAATACATACATCTGTAGACACAGAAAAACAAAGCAGCACCTGAAGAAAGCAACAGAGCTAATGCAGTGTGAGATCATTGCCCTGTATTACTCCTCCGGCACTGCAATTCCTCAGAACAGCCTAGTGCACACAGAAGAGTGAAGGGAAAAGAACGTTTCATGAAACCTCAGGTTCACTTCAGTGACCTTAAAAAAAGAAAAAAGAACTCACTCTCAAAAATATAAACCCCCAACCAAACCTTAAATTTTTCAACTTCTCAAATTAGCTGAGAGACTGTGAGTACTACAGAAGTATTAAAAACTAAGATCTCAGAGGGTCCTCTGGGCATTGGCATATAAATGAACACTGCATGCAAATATTTGGAAGCTTTCACTTTCAGGCTGAAATCCTTTATTGTGGTTGATAGCTGTACTACAACACGTAACAGTACAGTGTACCAATATGCTTGGCACTCAAACAGGTTGTTTCAGAACCTTGATCTTCATTATCCCAACAACTCATAAGGGCAGAAATTTTATATGGAGCACAAGATAAGTGGTTGATATAATTTTTTTTAACCTGCTTTTGAACTCCTTGCAGATAACAGTTAAGAAAATAGCTAAGTAATGCAGATTTGATGTCAAGGTAACTAAAATGCATATAATCATGTTTTAAACTAATACCAAAAGCAGAGAGATGATGACTTCTAGTCATGTTCATTTTTCTATACCGCTTTAAATTTCAAGTACTATAACCAGTGAATTTCTTGTGATCATGTCCACTCTCACATTTACACAGACTGTTTTACTGAAAATGGTGAAGTTGTGCAACAAGTGAATGGCTTTACAAGCCTTAGAAGATGGGTTTAGAAATGATGCGCTGGCAAACTTTGTACATATCTATGTATTATGGCATTATATCGTCATTTCTGTATCAGACCAGTGTTTATGATGTAATGATACAAAGAATCACAGAATCCCAGAATGGTGGGGGTTGGAAGGGACCTCCAGAGATCATCTAGTCCAATCCCCTGCTAAAGCAGGTTCACCTACAGCAGGTGGCACAGGATTGCATCCAGGCAGGTTTTGAAGGGGACTCAAAAGGGGACCTCTGTCCAGGGAAGGAGACTCCACAACCTCCCTGGGCAGCCTGTTCCAGTGCTCTGCCACCCTCAGAGTAAAGAAGTTTTTCTTTATGTTGAGGTGGAACTTCCTGTGCTCCATTTGTGCCCATTGCCTCTTGTCCTGTCACCGAGCACCACTGAAAGGAGCCTGGCCCCACCCTCTTGACACCCACCTTTTAGGTATTTATAAGTGTTGATAAGGTCCTCTCAGTCTTCTCTTCTCCAGGCTAAAAAGCCCCAGGTCTCCCAGGCTTTCCTCATAAGAGAGATGCTCCAGTCCCCTCATCATATTAGTAGCCCTCTCTCCAGTAGTGCCCTGTCGCTCTTGTCTCAAAAGCAGCTAAACTTTACATTATTTACTTTCAAACATATCAACCACTTGTGCTATCTGTCTGTAAACCAGCCAGCTTCTGTCCTAAATGTGGCTGCATAGAAAAATTAATCCTGAGTTAACAAGTTAATCCTGAAGAGTGGATCATGGTACGATACAAACTAATTCTGAAGCTGATATTGATACAGGTCTCCCATAACCAGAAAGCTCCAGGTTTGTCTGTTGAACAGATTACAGAATCAAGGCAAAGAAACTGAAATCACAGGCCCAGAAATGAAGAACTTCCAAGGGAATTTTTCTGACATATACTTCAGTATTTTCCTTATCACAAAGGCAAGAATATAACACTTTTATCAAATAACAACTCCACAGAGATATTTGACTTAGTATTAACCTTAAAAATAGACCCCAAAAAATTAAGACAGGAACTCCAATAATCACAAAACTGGAGACTCATTTCACTGAAAAACTTACACATTTCACACACAGAATTCAGTAAATTATTCATTAGATCCTGATTTTTTGAAATAGATCTCTAGTTCATCCACTGAGGTTTCTATGACAATGTAGCACGGAAAATAAAGATGAGGAATTGGAAATTTACACTTGGAAGGACTAGGCTAAAATAATTTATTCTCTCCTCTTTCTCCTGTACCATATTTCTTTTCATTTATTAAATAAACCAAACACATAGTTAAACAGCACTGTTCACGTACCACAAACCTTCAACATTAAACATCCTCAGCTACGGCCAAAACAGGCCCTTGGATGGATGATTTAAAGAATAGTCAGACTAGTGTTGAAAGCTTGGGGCTTGCTGCAAAAGTTCATCATCTGTTAACAGAATATAAAGCTGGAAGACAGGAATCTTTACAGAGTTACAAAAGACTATTTATGCCTTACTCTTCACTAGTGCTGCAGAATTCTGGAGAGGACGTTAATCTAATTTACTTTCAGGCTCTAACCTATCTATGAATCATATCATATCTTATGAATCATATCATATCTTTGAATCAGTATTCAAATCACCTACTTTGCTCCTGCAGAACTCAGATTCCTGCCTTGGCCTGCTCATTTACAGTTAATTGGGAGTCAAAATAATCGCCTGTTGACTGCAAGTGGAATGCTCAGCATGAGTCCTACAAAACTGAGATATCATTCTGCCTTTATAAATATAGCTCAAGTATACACATTGAATCACATGTGTTCCATTATTATAACATTCCCTCTGTCATGACAGCTCCTTCTCAGTTTTCCTTCATGTAGTTTTGTTCGCTTTATCTTAAAATGCTTTTACTGTCACCTAACTACACTTCTGACCTCACTTTACTGTACTCAGGCTTAATTTGGACAACAGTAGTCTTCTCTTCCCATCTTCAAAACCTTCTCCAGAGTATATCCATTAATGAATCCCTGATTTTAAAAATAACATGATTAAACCAAGAATCTACCCCACTGTTTTATAAACATGGTGAGGCAGCACTCATATTTTTGTATTTGATTGGAGCAGGCACTGTTTCTTCACTCATGTAACATAAAAGCGATGCCAATTTGCAACAAATAGTAAATACAAAACTAACTTAATACAGATTAATATAACAATGGTGCTTCTCATAGCATCAAAAATACCTCCCTGTAAGAACATACAGAATTTTCTTCTCTCATATATTTTAGTTGTTTTAAGAATAATTAACTGGATATTGAAGTTTTCAGGTGGCAAAGTTATAATCACTTACCCCAATGTTAAAAGTCCCATTAAAATAGTCCAAATTCGCTTGAATGAACCAAATGTTGTTTAAACCTAGTTCATCACTTCTATCTTTAGCACGGATCAGAGACAACTCCTTATTTTCTATGAGCACCACCTAGATTTCATACATAAGAGAAAGTAAGGCAAAACAGTATTGAGAAATCAAAGTACAATATTACCAACAAACACAAAACTTTGTAGTTTAGTTGAGAAAACCTCTGAATTACTTCTGGCAGAGATGGATATCTCCAAAAATGATTAGCAGGAAACCCAACAACAATGGAAGGCATTGGTAACATCAATCAGCTTGCAAATATTTTATATTTTCCTGTAACTTTTGTTTTCTTGGGAAAGCACTGTACATATTTGGGATTACGCTAAAAATTTGCATGTTTCAAATTAAGTCCTCTGCTGAGACAACTATGTCTGCATATTTATGCTCCCTACATGCACTTCTTTTTAAGATGACTATCAGAGACCAAAACCTTGCACCGTCTGTACTTTTTATTTAGAATTTACCTTACATGATGGCATCATGTGAGCAAGAACAATTCCAACATGGCCCTACGAAAACAAAAACAACAAAATCTCAGTCACTTTTCAGTGTCTCCTGTTGTTGACTTTTTTACAGGATAAGCATCCCCTAACCTGTGGCAGAACCCTTGAAAGCAGACAAAATTTCAGCAGATGCACTTTTGCTTTGCTTTGTGGCAGCAACCCCCTAGAACTGGAAAGACAAGAGCTGAATTGCATCATGTAAACAAAAATATACATTACCCCTCCACTGCAAAAATCCACAATCACATCTCCAGGCTTAGCAATCTTCGTCACTGCTGCTACCAAATTATTCAATTGCTGCTGCTTCCTCAGAGCCCGGTCTCTAGACATCTTTCCTGGGGATGATAGAGAAAAGGCCCAAGTAGTGATCAGCAGTTCTCAACAGTGATAATTTTAAATTGGTAACATCAAAGCACGGCAAACGAAATTTATGGCTGAGACTAAAAACTGGCTGGAACAATCGGGCATCTGAAGCCACTTTGAGCTAAATTCACAAATATTTGTGAATATTTTCCATAAAGAAACCTTCACCATATTTAAAAATTTACTTTCCAGCTCTTGCTGTTAATGTATCCTTAGGAACAGACTTGTATAAACTTACTATAAAGTAATCAAACTGGTGTAAGCTTTAGCTTGATTATATTCCAAACGTGAGAATCATGCCCAGAAACAGAGCTAAAACCCATTCACAGAAAGGTTGTCAAAAGAAATCCCTATTTTCTCTATCTATACACTATCTTTAAGGCATCTTATTTTAAAAAGCTGTACTCTTTCTCCTGTCAATTTTCACTTTTCTTAATAAGCAGCCCCGTTTATTTAAATGACCGTGTGTCATTTAAGGAGGTACTTCTCAAAGCAACTACTCCTACATAGCAAAGTCTGGCTTTCCATCACATCTGTAATACAACCAGAAACAGAAAAACTATTAATTTCTTTCAAATTGCTTGGAAAGTCCAACATACAGTTGCTTAAGATATAATGAATTTCTTTAGTCAGCAGTTACATATTTGTAAAGATGCATTTTTTGTCTCAGTGGGGCTAACAGAGTGCTAATAGACCTATTTAATACTCTTTTTCTTTGTTCAGAATCACAGAATGTTAGGGGTTGGAAGGGACCTCAAAAGATCATCTAGTCCAACTATATACATAGATATTGACAGTAAAAATATTCATGAGCTCATCTTTACAATAAAAAAAGGTACTGAAACAACTGTCTTGAATGAGTTTTCATGAAGGAGTTTTAGGTGTATCAAACAAACCTAACGTTCTCTGAAATGTGAACATATTTCCTACTTGGAGCACCACATCATATTTGAGTATGGGCACTCTCCAGTTTTCTATTAAATTAATTAACTTTGTCTATCAAAAATACATTTTTCCCAGTACTGAGGAGTAGTTTAGAATAAAACCTACAAATCAGTGAAGTTTCCTGGTTACTACAAAAGCGATTTAATTCTCACAATCATCATCATAAACTGCATTTATTACACAGTTTACAGTTTAAATCTCTACCCTGAAAATGTATTTTCTTCTATTGTATTTTATTGTAAATAATATTTCACTTTACAAATAATCCATCAAATTCAAACTCATCAGATAAAATTATCACTACATTGCTCTGGGTAGAATGAGGGGAAAAAATAATCAGTTTTCAGGATATTACATTCTATACTGTCAGGGCAAAGAAAAGAGAAAAACTGACAACAGAAGGCAGAGGAAGTCGGGCAGAGATCATTCTGCACAGTTATTGCACAGAGACGTTTAAAAAAAAGAGAGTAGTGACCTTTTAAAAAATATTCCTAGGTGACTGCACTGCATGGTGACATACTAAAACACATACTACTATTTAACGGAAATTAAGAGATTGAATGCAACCTCCTCACTTCTTATCAACTTTGTAAGTATGAAACAGTTCATTCTATAAAAATAAAACCACTGTTACATTTCAAACAACTTTTACACTTCGTGAAAGTTACCATAAAGGAACAGTCCCAGAAAATTAAGTTTTCTAATGACAAAAATGTGTACAAGGACTGTGCATATGAAACCTTTACTCCATTATTTAAAATGATAAATACATTTTAAGGAATAATCTCTTTCACATGAGTAGGTCCCTAGAAAAACCTTTTATGAAAGACTATACTGGAAACACTAATTCCTTGTGTGCCAAATATCCATGTGAACTGCTCCACAGCTTGCCTCCAATTTTCATGCTTTGATTCGACAAAGTAATGTTCAAATGTTCTCAACACCTACAGTTCTAACAGTAGCCAATGGAAGATGTAGGCATTCCAGCATGCACAAAATCAAGTACTGTCACTGTGTTTGAGCTAGAAATTCTGCTTCTGAGGTCAAACCTGTAATTTGTTAGGTAGACAGGGATTGTGATATTAATTCCTTGAAAATCCTATACCTAAAAACCACACAAGTACGTTCTCTGCGTATGTATGTATGTAAGAGTATGCACATACCCTACACACACACAATCAAAATGGATGGTTTGAGTTTTAAAAAGTAGCTGTTGTCCTGCACATAGCTTTAATCTAACTGAGGCTACCTGAGCAATAAATTAAAAGAACAAAGAAATCTAATTTGTATTTGTCTGCTATATCCTCCACGCCTGAAACACAGCTGTGGCAAGGGGGGCACTATTAACAGATACTTTCATCTTGATAATGCAGGCTACTACTCGGGTTTGTTTTCATCAGTCAACAGATCTTATTGGTTTCAATTATTCCAATCCTACCTGATAAAGTACTTCATAAAACAGTTGTTGCTCTAAACCAAAAATGACCAGATGCCTTCCCTTTTTATGGAGGCAGCAAGAAACTGAGTCACATTTCTTTCATCTGATAAGCAAATGAGCAGCCAAGCAAGTCCAGACTTCCCAATAGATACAGCTTCTTTAGAAGCCCACTAGAAGCTGTCCACACACAGTATCTACATCTGACTATGATTACACAGCTGTAAGAGGTGCGACTGCAGCTCAGCTCAGTAAATGTGAGCTTGCTTTAGCAACCCAGTTTGGACACAGACAACACTGCTATGAGAGCTCTCCATCTAGGGCAAGTTAGCCTTCCAAAAACCTGTTCAGCTCCTCTGCTGCTAAAATCTAAGACACCAGATTAAAATTAGCTCGGCCTATCTCTATAAACTGCAGGCACACTTCCAGCTGTGGTATAAGCCTACTCTTGTGATATTGCAACTCCAGAATCAGTGGACACGAGCAGCAGGCGCAAATAGCAAGAAGGAAGCAGTACTGAATCAGTACTGAGTAAAATTTCAGGTTTAGCTAAAAACTTTCCAAAAGCATGATAAAAGCATAAACAGAGGGGTTTTGTTGACAGAATTCAGGATGGACTTGTTCTTTTAACCTCAGGACAGCCAAAGCACACTGAATCCCTTTAGCCTGAAATACTCTGTGAAGGCAAAAGGTCAGCCCTGTTCTCCAAAATGGGTTTGAACACAACAAAATTTGCCTCATAAGCTTAGGTGGCTTCATTTACACGATAACTCGTTTTTAACAGGGGTTGGCTCTTACAAGCATTATCATAAAAAAATCAAACCAAAACAAAAAAACCCACACAACCTACTTTGACCTTCACAAATTTTCTTTCTTTCTTTCTATTTGGTGAAAACAAGTCATAAAAGTACTTAAAGCTCCTTCACGGTATAAAGTTCCGAGTTCTCTTGGTGGAAAACCTTCAGAGTTCAAGGCTTCCTGAGCTCAAGTAACTCCCTCAATTAATTTAATGGGATTTGTCGTAAATGCTTTTTTCCCTGGTAACTTTTGTATCACTGTCTTATATCCACTTTCAACTTCAGTCTTCATAATGATGAGAGGGACCAGGCAGACAATTTTGTTTCAAATTCCTGCCTCTCAACAGGCATCAGCACAAATGTTCTGAGCCATTTACTGCACAATACCGAAGGACAGACCACACCTGTCATGCCACAAACTGCACAAAAATCCATGCATGCAAATGCTCTTAGTTTCTCATCCAGCTTCTCTGTTCTTATTCTCCAACCCTAAGGTTTTTCCAAGAGGTGTGGAATTTAATAATATCAAGTACAAATCCTGAAAAAAACATCGAATTTTCATACTGTGCATAGTTTGCAAATAGATCTTGGAGTCACTAAAAATCAAAAAGTAAAATGATGACAGGTTTCATCAGCAACAGCAGATCCACCACCAAACAGTCAGTCAGTCGACCTCCTGAATATCACACTAGTAAGAAACACTTTTAAAAATTATTAGCTTATAGCCTCTAAAAACACTCTAAAAATTAGCTCTCCATGGTCACCAACAAACAAGGTTTCATCCTCCCTTACTGTGCGGACACTAGGTAGCATATGCTCCCTTGAAAGGAGGAGAAAACCAAGTTGAATCAATAGATCTTTTATCTGCTCTACCTCTGCATTTTGAGCTTGGTAGCTAGAATTACGGACACACAGCAAGCTGCAACATACCCTGTAGAGATTGCTAGTTAGCAAGTCAACTAGTCCTTCATTACAGCAAACAGGCAATAAATTCAACTAAAACTTCTGCATCTAAACATACTACGGCTCACTTTGCATTTCTCAAGCCCTGTGACGGTAAAAAACGCTAATTGTGGTCTTCAAGAACAATAAGAGAGAAAGTAGCTTGAAATTTAGCACGACAAGTCAAAACCTTGACGAACAGGACCTTTTCCTACAACACGCTGAAAGGCCCCCTTAAAATGATTTGTTGCCTTTGTAAGAACCCAACTGACAGATTGCCACACAGTCCCTGAAAGAGTCATCTTCATTTTAAATTAATGGTCACAACAAAAATATTTTATTTGGCTTCACAAATTACAAATTTAACATTACTGTTAATTCAGCCCTTCTCAAGCAGAGCTTTAAAGTCTCTGTGGCACTTAGAGGTCTTACATTTTGGCACAAAGAAATATAACTTTTCAAAAGGCAAAAAGCCCTTTATTTTTATATTACCTTTTGACAGTGTTCAAGCTCATATAATCCTTCAGTCCTCAAATAATACTTCCATATTTCTCAAGTTAAACTTGAAAAGTCATTAAAGTTTCCTTAAATAAACAAAACCCAAACATCACCTTCTAAGACTTTATTCAGCACCCTATTCAACTTTGAAGTCATAACACAGTACAACTGAACACACAGCAACCAAAACATACATACAATACACAATACATGCATTCTCCTATTCCATAGAGCAGAACTGCATACTTCTATTGTTTTAGCACAAAAATCTTTTTATTAGGTTTTCCATAAGCCTCAGCTAACTAATTCAAATGACAGCGTGAGTCTACTTTCCACAAAAATTCAGGCAG